ATTTAATCTTACATATTTCTGTATATACATATGTATGTACATATGTATTTACAATAGACATACGAATTTTTTCTAAAATTAAATATATCTACATATGAGGATAGGAGGAGGTAGGAATGATGAAAAAGCAATAAAAATTAACTTTTTGTCAAAATTTGGAAAAACATTGCACCTCAAAAAAATACATACATATTTATATGTATGTACATTAGACTGCATCACTCTCCATACGAAAAAAAATCGATACTGTTTTTCTATTGGAATTATAAAATCGATTATGTTTTAAGACTCGTATCAAAATATTTCGGAAAAATTTTAAGATTTACGAGAACTGGACCTATTTGAAAATACCTCCAAAAATTTAGTTTTTTTTAAATTTTTTGAAAAAAAAAGAATCACTCAGATCACAAAACAGCTTAGGCTTAAAAAATTTGCATAAGAGTATTAAAAAAAATCCAACGGAATCATAATAAAATTTCTTATGCTGTTTTTGAACTTTTTTCAAAGTTTGTTTTAATAAAAACTTGAATGACTCCGCAAAAACTTTCCGGTCTTTTTAAAATAAACTTATTCAAAGTATGCAAGAGATAGGTAAGATGAACTGATACCTTAGAAGTCTAAATCGGTATAGTTTTGGCTCAGTTATTCAAGTTTTTCTCAAACCAATCTTTGAAAAAAATTAAAAAAACAGCACCAAACATCTCATTATTATGATTCCGTTGAAACAATTTTTCAATATTTTATGCGCGTTTTTTAAGCTTAAACTGTTTTGTAATCTAAGTGGATTTTTTTCAAAAAATCATAGAAGAAACAATTTTTGTTTATAAAGAAACTAAATTTTTGGAGGTATTTTCAAATCGGTATGTCGGTGGAAGTCTGCAAATATAATCAATTTTGTAATCCCTGTGGAAAAAATGCAATTTTTTTTGGTGATGCAGTCTAATTTACATACCTATGGGTCATGGTGGAATTATACAAGGTGTTGTACGTAGTGACAGCTCATGTCGACGGCTCCATTACAAAAGGTTGTAATATGGAAGAACGAGAGAAACGGGAAGAAAAGAAGCACGCTTTGCGAAGTAGTACGAAATTTGGTACTCTTTCATATCAAATTTTGCATATAAATAGTAACAAACGGTATATTATGATAAGCTAAATTTGCGAAAGTAGTATATATTACGTAGCACTTATGCAATAAATGGTAATTTAGTTTATTAAACACAATGTCCTATAATTATAGTCAAACTTCCAAAACCGCTTGGGGGTCTAATTTTTACCCGAAAATACTATAAGATGATTGATATAACTTACAAAAATTTCGCCATCAAAAAATTAGTGGTGACCCCGAGTCGTTACAACATGACGGAGTCGACAAAAGGGCGCATCGACGGATGGGGAAAATATTTCATCGAACAAAATGCCAACGAAAGATGTGGAGCTTGTATCGCAATGCAAGCTGCGACCGTTCTGAACTGAGATGCCAAACAAATGGTTTCTACAAATTGAGGCCACCTTTCCGTCGTACAAGACCACATCTTATGTCCGGAAATATAATCTGGTCCTCTCAGCAATTAGCAGCGATGCTTTAAAGGAAGCTGCGGATGTTTTAAAAGCCGTACCAGCTCAAGACCGATATATTAACCTCAAAAGTCAACTACTGTCACGTTTTACTGATTAAGCCGACCCACATAGGGTATTTGGCTGATTTTAGGCCTTTGGAGAATACACAAAGCCAATGTTTTTTGTCGAATTAATGATTTTAATTTTTAATTTAATTTTGTCAACGAATAAGAATAAAGTAAATGTCAAAGAATTGTTCAGTGATTGCAAATCAGTTTTGGAATAGGGAATGAGGTAGTTTAGTTTTTTTAAAGGCGGTAAAATGTAGTTTTTTTCAAGAGGGAAACACCGATTTTGCTAAGGGAGCCAAGATGGCAGATTAGAGCGAGAACGCTGTCAATATCCAACACCTTGTATTATTCCACCATGCCTATGGGTGAAAAGGTGCCAAGTCCATTTTTTTTTAAGTTGTTCGGGAGAGACGAAAAATCGATGTAGCTTCGTATTACCTGCCATTCTGCATTAAAATTTAAATATTGGAAAAAATTGCCTTGGCACCTTATCACTTCTAGGTAGCGATATCTATATATGTACATATGTACTTTGTGTATGGAAACTTCCATGTTTTGTTCCAAATTTTTTTGACTGGAATTTTTCCAATGATTCGAATTTTTAATACATACAGTATCGGTTATATCATTAGCACCTCAATTTAGAAGTGACAGTTTTTGCCACTTATGTTTATTTATTTATTTTGAGGAAGTGTTAATTAAAATACAGTTAATTCTCCAAAAAAAACTTTTAAACTCCAGTTTAAAACTTTGTAGAAAAAAAATAAAATAAACACATTTTCATCCAAATTTCAAACTTTTTTCTCAGAACTGCTAGAATGTTTTCGAATATACAGTCTTGTAGCCCATTAAATTTTAATGTTATAATGTGCATATTTCAAGTGACTAAAAATTATAGTAGATTTTTTTTTATTTCATTTTGCTTCGGTTTCTTCCATATAAAAATAAATTGTATTTATTCCTTATATGAAAGCAACTGCGGCAAAAAATTTGTTATATGACTAATGTACATAGATATGTACCGACGTGTATATGTATAAGTATTGAATAATATTGATTTATACACCATTTAATATTGTCTCTGATTACTTCATACATATTTCGCCCCCATAGCCGCTACCCGCATAAGGTGCCTACACTTGAAAGCTACTTTGTACCCGTAATGGGTGGAGATCGCCATATCGTTACAAACACACAACGTTTATGGTTTGAGAATGAGGAAAAGCGTCCAATACAATTCGAAAATTATGTTGGTTACAAGTAAGGTTCAGCTCAAACTTTCAATCATAGCAAAATCAATTTCTAACATTTTTTTTACTACTCTTTTCTTGCCTCGCAACATAACACTGAAGGTCGCTACTCAACGCCATCTTAACGCCCCTTATAGTGGTGTTAATCTCTCTGCTGTCGCAATTCAATTTTACGCGCAACTTACTTTTGAAATATCCACAAATTTTCTCTTTGGGCCTCATATCACCCGATGGGCCAACGCAAGCCACTATGGAATCTCACTTCTTCCAAATGCTTTTCAAAACTAAAGGCTGGACCAAGGCGCAATCGCTGAGTGAGCAACCTAAACAGCAGCTATGGACACGTGTATCTGGTCGCAATCCTTTCTATGCCATGACTGGTGTGGCTATGTTGGCAGTAGCGAAGATTATTTTGCAGGAGACGGACAAGTTGCCTGGAAGGTAAGGAGGGAGAGAGAGAGAGAACGAAAATAGCAGACATTTCTGAAGCTAAAATATTTTATTTCTATTTCAGTGGTGGCGTGATCTCTCCTGGTTATGCTTTCGCCAAAACTAGCCTCATTGAAGACTTGGAGAAGTACAAATACGGCATGAAGTTCGAGGTACTGAAGTTGGAGGCGTAGTTGTTTAGAAGCCAGTAAATAGTGTGGATTTAATACGTTTTTTTTATTATATTTAAAATAAAGATAATACACACCCTGCGAGAAATAAACACAAAACTTAATACAGTAAAAAAAAAATTTTATAAGAATCTATATATATCTTCGAAATTCTCCCAGCAATATACTGGACAGATATTTATGCTCCTTTCATACGAGTATTTTGTAATTACATTCAAACTTTTCTAGACCTAGCAAACGAATTCACTAGAGGAAAAGTAAGTTATTTGGTAATTGATTGCGGCGAGTTCAGAAACGGATTAGAATTGGAATTAACATTTTTTTACTTTTCTTTAATAAATCTTAATAAGATATGCACGGCCTGCTTTGCCGAGTGGTTAAAGGTCCGCTATACCAATCGGTAGAACCTAGGTTCGATTTCTGGTTCACATACATTCGGGCAGTGTTTTTGTTTATAACTTTTAGTCGGATATCTCTAAAATTAAGACACTCAGCTCGTTGTTCCGATCAGTTTAGTATAATTTTTTACAAGTCTATGAACTAGAATCGAGATTTCGTCCTATGATTTCTAGCCAATCAAAGGAACTGGAATTTAATTTCTGTTTCTATACTAATCCCTAGAGAACAACCCCAATTCCATTGCTTCGGATTCATTCACCTTCGCCTATTTGTCAGTTCCCTCATTGCTCTCAATGTTCGGATGCATATATCCAAGTTCGAACAGGCTTACAGTTTTTTTTTTTGTCGGATGGGATCATGTTTAAATGTCACCATAATGCCCATTACACGTTTTTGAACGGTGCGTTTACTAGAGCTACCAATACACATTTTTAGCAAAAAAAAAAGCATTGTGCACGTAAAAAATTTTCGATGTTAACCAATTTGTGTGGCTAGGGAAGCGCAGTAACCCACGAATGTAAAAACGTTGAACGTGTCAGCTGACACGATCTATCTTATGGCATCTGCGTGTTAACAAAAACTCACCACCTCTCTTTCTATCAACAGCACACTTGTTATCTTTCTCCGTACCTCTAAGCTACGCTACGTATACGTTCGTGGGTAACCGCGCTCTAAGGCGAGACGCGATATAAATTCCTCAGTCGTTATCTCGCGCCAATCGACAGCGAAGGCACTAGGCTCAATGGAATGAAGTTAGTACAGTATTTCCCGTATATATGCATCATCTAAAATGCACGAGATGTGGTTTCCGATTGGTCTATGTGTAACTGAACCGTCACGAACGACTACTGCCAAATAATACATTTTCATTTAAAATAGGAACAAATTGAGTTATCATTTATCACGGTGATCAAGAAATGCAATGCTATAAATTACAACATTAATTTAATTATTTAAATATCCAGTGATGAGAATTTGTGTAACAGCATCTTTTAGACTTTTTAAGTAAGACCGACGATTCATGTAATTAATCTTATGGCGCTTTCGTTTCTACAAAAAATGTTGCCTTCTCATTTCCGTCTTCTTAGTATTTGTGCTTTGAGGAAAGACCCAAGTCAGAATCATTTCCAAGGAAATGCAAACGCGTTGAATATTTTTAAATCCATTAAATCGAAAATCGATTAATCGAGCCCGTCCGTTACGATTTTTTGCCGATTTTTAGTTTCAATTCGTGAATCGATTCAAAAAACTTGAACAAATCAATAATGAACATCGATTCGTAAATTGATTCAAAAAACTTGAGAATCGACATACGGGTTTTCCTCAATTGATGCATATTAATCTTTGGTTTGCCCTAGAAAACCGATAGAATTTCAAAGAAATTTAAATTTGAGTCTGGTACAAAAAATTAGGGCGATTTAGCGTCTTCAAATAAAATATTTTTTTATATTCGTAGGGAAAACTTGTGAGTCGAGCCCCTCCCGCCCCTACCGGACTACGCCCATGATTATGTCGTTGTCTTAATATATGTAGAAAATCCTTATTTTTCCAGAAGTATTTAACTTATAGCTTTTAGATAAATGCAGATATTGAAACCATTATGAACAATGTATGTTTTAAAAAATTACTTACAATAAATATTTGCAATTTCAATGTTGTTGTTTTTGATGTAGCAAGTTTAGGAAAAACCCGTTCAGACGAGCAGCTAAGATTGAAAGGTTTGATGATTTTGATTCTTGCCGTGTAGCTCTTAAAAATGGTCGAAAGGATTTTCTTCTGGCTACGTAGAAACACTTTAATTCTCTTCAAGATCACCGTGTTATTTGTATAAATAAATGTGCGACAAAATCCAGAACCTGTACAAGTGGTTCACAAGATAATTTCAAAATGAAAAATTAATTTCCAGAGTTTATAAACGGGAAGATGACAAATTTGTCACTGCTTTTGGGTACAATTTAAAAATATACAAACTTTTAACTAACCTCCCCTCACTGGACACTGCAGATTAAGAGGACGTCTACATAAGCTGCGAATCTGATTTTAATATCTTTCCTGAAATCTTTGGGAATAAAAAATGTGTTGTGATAAGTGGAGGGCACAATAGACCCACTAGGTCGCGGTGTATGCCTCATTAATTTATCTATATATCTTATCAAGAAAGGGGACATTTTCTTTAAATATTTTAGAGCTTATAAGCGGGAAACACTGTAACTACATACACATACATATTTATAGCAAAGACTTTCACTAATGTTTTGTTTATCTTTTGTTGTGTTATTCAATAAGTAATTAGATAACGGCATTACAATATCTGGTTCGTCCGCAAGTCATGCATACAGAAGCTTTTATAATAGATATATTTATGTACATATAAAAACGTTCATATAAACCTTTAGAATTTCCAATTTAATAACTAAGTATGTATGCTTGCATGTACATATGTATGTTTTAAGCTCTAACTGAGCGATTACTAGGGGCACTTTTGGACTGAGCTTAAGTCACCTCGACTACAACAATGCTAGTTATTAGATAGGTAGTCGTCCGACAACCAGTTGCTGAGAATACAAGTTCAGTCACAACGCAGCCGTCAAACAAATCTCGATTTAAATCTGAAAAAATCGATCTAAATGCAAACATAAAGACGCACTAAGTTAAAAGTGTTAAAGATGTCAGCGAAATTGGATGTTGTAATCTTCGGTGCCACCGGTTTTACAGGGCAAATTGTGGTGGAGAAGGCGTCAGAGATATTGCAGGGCCTCAGCTGGGGCATTGCGGGCCGTAACAAGGTAAACATTGATACTTATTCAAACAAGGCGATGCTAAAGTTCATTTAACATAATTGCGTAGAATAAGCTGGAAAATGTGTTGAAAACTGCAGGTCAGGCAACTGGCAAAGATTTAAGTGCGATACCGATTATCTTGGCAGATGTAGACGACCGGCTATCGATTGAGCAAATGGCTAGGAAATGCAAGGTCAGTGTGAACATTTTCAGCAAAGTTACATAAATTTAAAAAGATTTGCGTGTTTTTTCTCATTTTAATTTTTTGCTTAAGTTACTAATCAATTGCTGTGGCCCATATCGGTTCTATGGCGAGGTGGTGGTTAAGGCCTGCATTGAAGCCGGTGCGCATCACTTGGATATTAGCGGCGAACCACAATATATAGACGGCATGCAAGTGAAATATCATAAATTGGCGCAAGAGCAGCAAATTTATGTGATTTCATCGTGTGGCTTCGATAGCATTCCAGCCGAAATGGGTGTAGTGCATGCAGATCGAAATTTTCCAGGTGGGACCATTGTGGGGGATATGTGACTGGCATTACGATTACTTTCACTTCTGTAATTACCTCCAATTTATTCCTTAGGTACTGTAAATAGCTGCGAAATGTTTTGGGAAAATATTCTTGATTATCAAGACAAAAGCTCCAAAGCTGTTTTACATGCCGGCACGTGGGAAAGCGCTATTCATGCTATGGCTAACTTCAGCGAAAGCCAAAGATTGCAACGTGCTTTGGGTGACAATAAATTGCCAGATTTGCAGCCGAAACTCAAATTTTGGTAAGGTGGGAAGCTTTTATTTTAGATTATAGGCAAAAATTGGAATGTTACTGATACAGATTTAACATTTGGAGATCTAAACCTAACTTGGTGGAGGGAGTGAACATTTCATACCACATCATGCACATCAAAGCTATTAAAACTGATATAATGTACGCACTTTCCTGAAAGAATTGCAATTTTTTTAATATCTAAAATATTTAATTACCGAAATTTACTAAATTTTTTCACTTACAGTGGCGAAAATATAAATAGGGAAGAGACATTTTAGTATTATTTAGCTATATCCTTTACTTCTATTTGATGTTTATTATGTTTTTATGAAAGTGTAACTCGTTATCTAACAAAAACATGTAAGTCAAAATTTCAAACTTTTCAAAAAGAGATATTTTTTTTGTAAGTAGCTTTGTAGCCCATTAAATTTTAGTGCAATGAAGTGCAAGGAGCTAGTACTTACCGTTGATTTTTGGCATTTTTTTGTGTGGAAAAGGTGTGAAAATTCGTCGAGTTGTTATAAATGTTCAGTTTAAAATTTTGATTTACATGGTTTTTT